AATCGCCTGCGGACGATGGCGAGGCAGAGCCACGTCCAGGCCCCCAGGTGGGGCTCCAGGCGGCTTGAGACCAGGCAGGGCCTCCTGGAAAGTTAGCGTGCAAACCGCCTTCTGCCAATGACAGGGGCGGGTGCTGAGCACCCCACACCACGGTGCCCGGTGCCCCAAGCATGGAGAGGCCCCCACTTTAAGCACCACAGCTTCCCCCAGCCCTGCGGATGGCCAGCCTCCCCGGGTGCCACTGCCCTCCCCGCTCCGGACCGTGACCTGCCCGAGCCCCTCCTCCTCCTCCTCACTGAATATCATAAGCTTTATTGAAATAGAATTCATGTGCCATAACATTCACTCAGCGCGCACAACGCAATGGTGTTCAGTGTATTCACAGAGTTGTGCGACCATTGCTCTAATCGGCTCTAGACCATTTGCATCACCTCGGAAAGAAACGCTGTCTCCCCCCCCCCCCCCCCCAGGCCCCTGGCAACCACCACCCTACTTTCTGTCTCTGGACATCTCACATCAAAGGGATCCTGCAGGATGTGGTCTTTGGGGGCTGGCTCCTGTCACGCAGCCACGTGTTTCTTTAGGAACATGTCTGACTCATACAAGTACAGTGGAGGGTTTGTACTGACCGTTGATCCGTCACCAGTACGGACAGAGCCTCTGCTGTAGGCCGCCTGAGCAGCTGCTGGGCCACACAGCAGCCACGGTGGTGCGTGCGTCACCTGCTGCTGTGTAACAAATTGCCCCTGAACTTACACAACGGACACTCGTCACCCTACAGTTTGTGCGGGTCGGGAATCTGGGGGCAGCTGGGGAAGCAAGGCTTTGCTGCGGCCTCGGCGACTCCTCTGCTGCTGGCCAGACGCCTCCCCGTGGGCCTCCTCGGGCAGCGTGGGAGTCCTTACAGCATGGCTGCAGGCTTACCTCAGGGTGACGGTGACAGAGAGAGAGTTAGTGCCCAAGACCGGGGCCCCGTGGTCGTTCATAACCTAATATTGAAGGTGACCTGCCATCCCTCTGCCATATTTTGGTCACACAGACCAATCCTGCGATTATGTGGCTGCACAGAAGTTTGAATAAAGGAAGGGGCACGTGACGATATAATTTCCTACAGAGAACGGCCCTTGTGCCGCTGGCACCCAGCAGAACCGTTCAGAAAGGGATGGGGCTCGGGTCAGCTGGGACCTCTCTGCTCCCCCTTCCCCCACTCGGTAATCGGGGAAGTTAGCATGTAGTTACATGTAGCCCTGTATGTGGTTCCCCCAGACTCACCCACTTCTGGTAGAATAATTTTTACGGATGGTTTCTCCAGGTACCTGTGAGTTCTGTTTGCATTTCTACCAAGTGGATGAGCCAGTTTTGGGGTCTCCTTCCATTCGTGTTGTCAAGAAGGATGTTGACTAACCCTGGCCAGGGGGGCTCAGTGGTTGAGCATCGGCCTAGGAACCAGGAGGTCACGGTTTGATTCCCGGTCAGGGCACCTGCCCGGGTTGCGGGCTCGATTCCCAGGGAGGGGCGTGGAGGAGGCAGCTGATCCATGATTCTCTCGCATCGATGTTTCTATCCCTCTTTCTCTCTCCCTTCCTCTCTGAAATCAATAAAAATATATTTTAAAAGAGAAAAAAGGAAGGATGTTGACTAGAACAGGCCCCAGGCCTCATTCCAAGGGACTTGACCCTTCGCACACGCACTGCGTCACGCTCTCCACCAGGAGTCACTGGAGATCCCTCCTCTCGTGGGTGGTGCCTGAGACTGTCTCAGGGGACGGGCTGGGGTCTGGATGAAATGGCCATAAATCGTGCATCAAAAACCGAGCCTTGTGCCCTGAAGCTTCGTTGTTAGAAGCGGTTTTCGGTGGCTAAAAGCGGATCCGCTCCCTGTCTCTGCCACTTACCGTGTAGCTTTGGGGAAGTCCTGGCCTCAGTTTCCTTGTGGAGATGGTGAAAATAACCGTCTCAGGGGACTGTTCGGTCTTTAATGAGATAATCAAAGTTCCAGGGATTTATTGCTGTGTAAACAGCCCCGTCCGTCTTAGGGGCGTGAGGCAACTGCCCTGTGATTACGGTCACAGATTCTGCGGCCCAGGAGCGGAGACAGGGCCTTGGCAGGACAGTGTGCTCTGCCCCGGGATGTCCAGGGTCAGCTGGGAAGACTCCCAAAGGGCTGCCAATAACGGGCTGGAAGCATCTAGAGCCGTGGTTCTCAACCTTGGCTGGACATGAGAATCACCTGGGAATCTTTTTGAAATCCTGATTTCTGGGCCTCATCCCCCGGAAATTCTGTTTCTTTGTGACGGTGTGGGGCCACATTAGTAACATTAGTAACAAAGAGACAGAATTTCTGGGGGATGAGGCCCAGAAATCAGGATTTTAACAAGATTCCCAGGTGATTCTCATGTGCAGCCACGGTTGAGAACCACTGAAGAGATTTCTTCCTGCAAGTCCAGCTGCCTGGGCAGGGATGGCTCAGGGGTCGGGCTCCGCTGGGACGGTCCATCCTGAGCGCCTACACCGGGCGGCTCCTGCTGGCTGGGCTTCGTCACGGGGTGGCCGCTGCCGGTGGTCACTCTTCTTCCCTGATGGGCGGAGCCCCGAGAGCTTGGCTCCAAACCAAGGCGGAAGCTGCGTGGCTTTTTATGACCTGACCTCTCAAGTCGCTCAGTGTCATTTCTGCTGTTCTCTCTCTTGGTCAGAGAAGTCGCAAGGCCACCAGATTTCAGGGGAGGGACATGGGTGGCACTCTCAGTGGCGGAGGGTTAAAGGATTTGCTGCCAGGTTTTAAAACCTCCACGATAAATGCAGATGATGACTGCTGTCCATGTCGTTTGGGCCAGAAAATGTCAGGAGCTGCTCCCTCTGCTGCCATGTTTCCCTCTCTCCCTCTCCTTCTCTCAAAAAAATAAAAAAATAAAATAAAATAACTCCTGGGCTTCCACCCCAGCCTTTCCTGGGAGAGTGCCTGCAGCCACGAAGGCCCTGGGGTTGACGCTTGAAAGAATGAGCAATGCGAACAGGAGCATCTTTCTTTTTTCTCTGCTCCCTCCCAGGTCACAAATGCCGGAAACCTTGATTAAGTCAGGCTTTGGGTCTAAGCTAGGGGAATTGGTGAGAGAGAGAGGGGTGGGGAGGGAGAGAGAGAGGGAGAAGTTCTGGATCGTAATTAACTTCGCTTTTTAACTACAGATGAGCCACTTTTTGAGTCAACTGGGGGTGAGAGTCTCAAAGATTAATGAAAATATGTGCAGGTGGCAGGATAACGAGGCCAGACTCTCCTGGCGTTAGGCTCCCCTATCCTGGTCCCGGAGTATAAAAGGTCAGGAGGGCGTTGTGTGCGTAACCATGGAAACCGTCTCTCCCTTGGAAGAGGATGATTTTGCCGAGTCTTCCTGTTTCCCCGAATAGAATGAAAAACAAACACGTAACTGGTGTGTTGTTGTTGTTCTTGGTTTCGTCTTATTTTTCTCTTCCTTTACTAGTTCTGTCCCCACTCAGCGTCTTGTCTGACCACACCTACAAATTCTGTAACGGAGGAATAATAATTTTCCCTCTACCCCGTTAGGTCCTTGACTGCGGTCCTCCCGCAATAAAAAGAAAGATTGCTCTGGCTGATTTGGCTCAGTGGGTAGAGCGCCAGCCTGCGGACTGAAGGGTCCTGGGTTCGGCTCAGGTCAAGGGCACATACCAGGGTTGCCGGCTTGATCCTCAGTGGGGGTGTGCAGAAGGCAGCCGATCAATGATTCTCTCTCATCATTGATGTTTCTCTCTCTCCCTCTTCCTTCCTCTCTGAAATCAATAAAAATATGTTTAAAAAATAAAAAAGACAGATTAACAGGAGAAAAAAAGAATTTAATTACGCATGAAAGTACGGGAGCCCCACAAAGATAGGAGTCTCAAAGGAGTGGCCAGAATAAGAAAGAAGCTTTTGTGTTTTTTGGACAAAGAAACAGTAAAGGTGCGAAGGGCTGGTAAGACCTAAGGGGGTGGGGCTCGAGGTAGGAAAGCGGAAGTGACATGTATGCTTATGCCGTCGCTTGGCCCTTCGCCTGCGTTTCCCTGTCTCTGGTGGGCACCTTCACAGGGGACATTTGCCTCCGGCTTCCCGGGACCCAGGAGGCTCAGAGTGCCCTCCTCGCACTGGCTGGCTGTCGACTACTTTTAATTCAGAACAGCATGCTGGCCCTATTGGTTGGACTCAGTTGATGGGACATTGTCCCATGCACCGAGGGGTGACCAGTTGGATTTCGGGTTAGGGCTCAGGCCCAAATTTCAGGTTCGATCTCCAGTAGGGGGCGTGTGGGGGGCAGCCGATCAATGGTTCTCTTTCCCATCGATGTTTCACTCTCTCTCCCCTCATGGCTATCTAAAATCAACAAAAGCCTATTTACAATAACGACAATATGCCGATGTGCTGTATTTGGGGGTGACACATTCCGACCCCCCACAATGCAGAGTGTCAAATTTGGATAGGAAGCCCTGACTGGTTTGGCTCAGTGGATAGAGCGTCAGCCTGCGGACTCAAGGGTCCCGGGTTCGATTCTGGTCAAGGGCATGTACCTTGGTTGCGGGCACATCCCCAGTAGGGAGTGTGCAGGAGGCAGCTGAATTGATGTTTCTCTCTCATCGATGTTTCTAACTATCCCTCTCCCTCTCCCTTCCTCTCTGTAAAAAATTAATAAAATATAAAAAAAAAATTTGAATAGGAAGAGTCGATCTAGTCCAGGAAGGTTGGTTGGTGGTTGGGGCGTTGGTGAGCAGCCGGGAGCAGCTGACATGTCCTCGGAGTGAGGTTACCTGGGAGTGTCAGGAGAGGGGGGAGGAGTGATTAGCAGAGAAAATAAACTTCCCTCTTACTTGTGGGACGTGGCAAGGGCTCTGACGGGTTGGAGCGAGCGCATCTGGCTTCCTGCCTCGGGCTTGGGGAACTTAAAAGAGAGGATCCGCTGTGTTTGGCCGTAGCAGGTCGAGGGGTGGGAACGTAACTCTTCTCTTCACCCCATGTTCTCACAGTGGTGAAACGAATTTATTTATCCAGCAGACTACAGTAGTCCCGGCCCACCTTATCCACGGGTTCGATGACCCGCAGTCAGCTTCAGTCTGCAAGCATGAAATGGGAAGTTCCGGAAATAAACAGTGCACAGGTTTTAAGTTGTAGCATGATGCAACCCCACGCCACCTGGGGTGTGGCTCGCCCCTTTGTCCGCTGTATCCACGCTGGGTCTGGGTACCCTCCCATAAGCATCTTCGCTGCAAACATGGTCACCACATAACTAAATCTGTTTTGGCATGAAGAAAAGATAGAGATAAACTGGCTGGCAGGTTGATATTTCTGTGTTTGGTTTCATTTCTCTACCGACGAATCAATCAACCGCTGTAAAAAAAGGATAAAATAACTGGTTGATGTTTTGGGTTTTTTTTGTTTGCTGGTTTGGTTTCATTTCTCCATTGATGAAGTCCTCACAGTTTCTCCCATTTCTATATTATACTAGTGGCCCGGTGCACGAAATTCGTGCACATTAAAAGGGAATTAATTAGAGGAAATATTTTAATATTGCTATTTGCCTCTTCTCTATAATAGAAGTGTCAGAGATTAAAGAAAATTAATAAAATGTATATGAAAATCTTCCTCCTGTCAGAGTCTGGGGCACACTGCGGGACCCAGAGTCAAGTCCCGGCCCACCCACGTGCACCTTGAAATTGCGCTAGACCCAGACCTGGCCAGCTCTACCCCCGTTGGGCGAGATCCAGACCCGGCTGGCCCCATTGGGTGGAGGGCGTGGCCTCAGGTCCCCCGGGTGGGGGGTGCGGCCAGAGCTCCCCCAGCCTGGCGCCGGGCGCGAGGGCCCCCGTCAAGCCCCACTAGGCGGGGAGCGAAGCCCCAGGCCGCCCACCCCGCCCCAGCCTGGCGCCACACAGCCTCAGGTCCTTGCTGATCGCTTGTTACAGCTCGTTACGGGAACCCCTCTTCTGCTGTGGGCACAGCCATCTTGTGACGGTGTGACGGAGTGAGAGTCAATTTGCATATCGCCTCTTTATTATATAGGATATGAGTCTTCGCTAGCTCTCCTAATGGCCTCTGCAGTGATAAGAGGTGGTGATGGTCTTAAATAGCTAGCATTTCTTCCAGATAATGGGGATGTGCCCCCGTGGTTGGTTTCCTGTTTGAAAGGCATGGCACTGGGAGCAGGAAGAGAGGTGGAGGCCCCTGTTTGAGGACACAGAGTTAGCTGAACCCACATTTCTCATCAAACAGACAAGAGCTTATGTATAATCCACAACATTTAAAAAAATCAGCTATTTGCACGGGCTTGTCATGAATCAACACACATTTGCAGTCAAGTCTGGGAGCCGCTTCCTGGCGGCCTGGGCTATCAGACCGACTGCTGTCCTCTGGCCCCGCGGGCGTTCAGGTGGCTCACTTTACTTGCTAGTGTCTCACTCACCCCACTTCATCTCATCACGGAGGCATCGTCTCCCCACATCGTCTCAAGAAGAAGGGAGTCCAGTACAAGATATTTTGAGAGACCACATTCCTACAATGTGTCACAGTATACTGCTGTACTTGTCCTATGTGATTATTAGTTACTGTTGTTAGTCTCTTACTGTGCCTAACTTGTAAATGAAACGTTATCATACGTTTGTATGTACAGCAAAAAAAAAAAACACACACACACAAGCTCTATATATAGGGCTTGGTACTACCTGCGGTTTCAGGCATCCATGGGGATGTTGGAACGTATGCCTGGCGGATAAAGGGGGGAGGGGCTGCTGTAATTTATTCTTATCCTGATCTGTATCTTAGAGAGGACTGCATGTCCCTGAGCCCCAAATGAGGAGTCAGGAGACTCGGGGTTTTCTCCTACCCCTGCCCCTGACTAGCTGTGTGCTGTTAAGTCAGTCCATCTCTTGGAGTCTGTGTCCCAAACACGGAGGCAGCACCAGGCACTATACAGACTTGGTGTCCGAACGAGTCGCTTCATTCTCTCCCAAACAGCTGCCGTGGTGCGTCTCTGGAACGTGGCTTGCGGTTCCAGGATATCGTTGTCCTACAGGCCGGATGAATTGTTGTGGCTTTTGCCATTTCAGAGCATCTTGGGTTTTCCTCTGGGCTCCAGAGGAACCAGTACCTGCGACCCCCAATGTGAACCTCAAGCCAGGCAGGCCACGGGGCGCCATGGCTGCTGCGGACCTTGGCTGTGAACTTGGCTTCCCTGCAGACCCCGCTGGAGAGAAAGGGAAGTCTGTGGGGTGGGGTTCCTAGGGAGAGGGGGCCCCCATGGCTGGCTGGGGAGGGGCGGAACCACCAAGCCATGCTGGCTCTTGGAAGATCTTTCCAGCGGCCTGGCACTGTAGGCCATTATCCATACCACCCCTTGCCAGTCAGGGTGGCTGTCAGACTCTCAGCTTCTCTCCTCCCGTCCTGGGTCCGGCAGTGAATTCCAGTGGCTTAGTCCTCATCCTGAGGGACCCCACCCTGTGGGTCAAGGGCGGCTCAGCAGGGGGCCTAGGCATTCATTCCTCCACCCACTGAGTCAGGGGCCCCAGCCCACGTGCCACTGGGCTGCCTGCTGCCGCACCGCTCCCCTCCCCAGGCTGGGGACCAGGGCGAGGGGGAAGGGGTGGGTGGGGAAGCCTGCGCTGAGCTCCGGTTGGACCCCGGGTCTGGCTGGGCGGTCCCAGCTAGTGGCCCAGGCCCCGCCTTCTCCAGAGCCGGTCTGCCAAGCGCACAGCCCCGCCCCGCTGCGTGGGTAGGTGGGTGGACAAGCGAGGGGCCGCGTGTGGATGCCCACGAGCGTGTGTGTGGCCTTGGTGCCTGTGACATTGTGTCGGTTTACATAATTGTGTGTGCGGGTTGTGTCTTAGTGGAAGCATGTGTGTGTGCCTTTGGCATCTCTGTGTGCCTTTGGCATCTGTGTGTGTCTGGCCTCTGAGTGAGTGTGAATGAGCGTGTGTTTCAGTGTGAGTGTGTGGCTTCTGGGGACGATACGGAGGGGAGTGGCCTCCTCCCGTCCTGACAGTCCCCCTCACCCGCCCATTTTTTTTCCTCCTCGGGATGCCTGGGGTGCTGGGACGCTGGCCCGGACAAGTTTACTGTGTGTGTATGGGGGCGGGGGCGGGGGGAGACGCAGAAGTCGAAGAGGGTAGCGGGACCCCCACGACCCCGCCACCTGGTCCCCTGCTCCCAGGCTTCTGGCTGAGTTTGCTCCTTGCCCGCCCCGCCTGCTCTCGGCGACCTGGGGCCGCGGACGCTGGGGCGGGCGGGATGGCGGGCCCTGCTGGGGCGCCGCTCCTGGGACCCCCGACAGCGGCGGAGACGCAGAGCCATGGGGCCTCGCACCCCTCTCCTCCACTCGCGGCTGCTCCGCGCGATGGGATCCGCTGTGGCGACTCTGACCCTAACACTCCCCTCCCCGCGCTCCACGTGGCTGTGACGCGAAAGCACCTTCTAAGGGGGCGGGGGACGCCGCAGGGCGAGGCGCGCGTGGGTCCAGGCTGGGCCGCTGGGAGGCGGCGGCACTGCGCGCGGGCGTGCCTGCCTGTGACCTGGGCGTGAGGCCAAGCTCCGGTCCTCGGAGGCTCGGTTTTCTCACAACCCCAGGGAGACCCGTGCCCACCCGCCGGGTGATGCCCGGGAAGAGCGGCCGTGCCTGTGTAGGTGCCGGGGGCGATCGCAGCGGCGCACGCACGAGCCACTCATTGTAATGAAAGATGCGTTAGTGAAAGTCCGGGAAACCCATTTATTTCCTAAATCCGCTGTAAGGGGAGCTCCGGCGGGAAGGGAGGCCCGGAGGCCGGGGAACAGCCCGCGCGCTGGATTGGCGCCCAGAGCCCGGGAGGGCCAGTGACTCGGGTGACCCCGGCTCTGGACCCGGGACAGGCCCCGCCCCTTCTGGTGGTTCCCTGGGAGCCCGCGAGCGAAGAGCGGTTTGGCGCACGACCAGCCCTCGCTCGTTTCGCAAATGGCACTTGGCACCCTCTTCCTTGTTGCAGGCGGAGACGGGAGGAGCGCAGCGTGCGCCTGCCTCCCGGGTCGGCGGCGGCGCGGAGGCTCCAGGATCCGGCCCCGCGGGTCGTGCGGGTGCCGCCGGGGTCGGGGAGGGTTTGCCGCCCGCGACCGCTCCGCGCCCGGCTCCCGCCTGCGCTCCAGCGCTCCGCCTGCCTGGCGCCGCGAGAATTTGGCGACGGTGCCCGCGCGGCGGCTGCTCTGGCCCCGCCCCCGCCCCGCCCGGCGCCCCGCCCCTGGCCCCGCCCGCGCCCGCGCCCTCCCGTTGTCCCGGCCCCGCCCCGGGCCGCGCCCCTCCGCCGTTGCCCCGCTCGCCGGCTCCGCGCCGCGGCCCTGCCCTCAGGCCCCCGCGGGCTCCGCGCGGCCGCCAGAGGCTCAGTCTCACCCGCCGCTCGGGGACCAGCCCGCCGCGTCCCCTGGGCAACCGTCTCCAGGGAGACCGGGCCCCGCCCCCGGCACCGACACCCGGTAACGGTGCCCACCTGTGCGCGCGCTCGAGGGGTCTCGGTGCCCCCCCCGCACGCCCCGCCCCGCCCGGCGCCAGGCTTTGTCCGCGCGGGGATAGCGGGGTCCAGGGGCGTGGGGGCTGGGGAGGCCGAGGCGGGGGCCGCGCGCTCGCGTGGGCTGCTTGGCGCTCTCCTTCTCTCGCAATCTCCTGGCAGCCCTTTTGTGCCTCCGGGGGGTGGGGCCGGGAGTCGGGGTGTCCCGCGGGCGCCCTTGGTGGGGTGCGCAGGGCCTCCGCCGGGCAGGGCAGGCTGTTTACTTGCCAGGGACCCAGCCATCGCTACGCGTCCTCCCCTCCCCCTGCCCCCGATTCGGGACCGAGCATCCGACTCTGTCCGCGCCTCGCCTCGCCTCGCCTCGCCTCCCAAGCTTTGCCCTTGAACCCGAAGGGCCGGAGGGCGGCAGACCCAGGCTCGGAGGTCCTGGCGGGCGTGAGCGCCAGAGCCGGAGACCCACCTTTCTCCCGGGAAGAGCCTCCTCCCGCCCGCGGGTGGATCCTGCCCCGGCCGGCCCCGCACTTCCTGACCTGAATTCCTGAGGACGGCGCATCCCTTCTCGCCTCCTCCAACTCTTCCCTCTCTGGGCTCCATCACGCTCGCCGCTTTGTTGTCCCTCGGTGCGAGAAAGTGCGTTCTCTGCGATCGGGTCTCATTTCCCTGTGGCTGAGCTGCTGGGTTTTGTTTTGTTTTGTTTTGTTTTTCCGTCCTCTTGTTAACTCCATCGATCATCAATGGAAGTTATTTCTCCCTTAGCTCTTGGCGCTGACCTCCTTGGTGACAGTGCCGTGGGAAGCCTTTGCCATCGTCCCCTGGATGCCGAGTGAGGGGACCATCCCCGCCCACGGCCCCAGGCTGCTGGGAGGGGGGGGGGCGTATCTTTCCCTCCCCGAGGCTGGCAGCAGGGAGTTTCAGCTTGTCCTTGGGAAATGCATTCTTGGAAGGGATGCCTTTCCCAACAGCCTCCTAGCACGGGGCTTCTTGTCTCACCCGGAAGCCAGTGTTCAGGGTTCTTGCTGCCAGCCATGCCTGTGGGGTCCAGGCAGGAGGTTCCCCGCTGTGGAGGTCGCTGTGCCCAGGGTCTGGGGTTAGGTAAGAGGCAGATCTTACTCCCTCTCTGGGGACAGATTATTCCCAGGAGTGGCCCACAGATGCAGTGGGTGGGCCCCCTCCCCATCTCCGGGAGCTGGCCTGGGTCCTATTTAGGATGCAATTGGGGTCTTGCATGGGGACCTCAAGTTCAGGAACCTGCTGTCTGCAGCGATTGAATGGAACTCCAACCCAGGCTTGGCTCAGATCGCTTACTCTGCTTTCAAAAGCCAAACAAAACCAGCAAACAACTCGAAAAACGGTCTGAGTCATCTGAGTGTATGTGTGTGTCTGCTCCGGGCCCTGGAAGTGCTTCTGTGCTTTGCTCAGTGCCGGGGGCGATCGCAGCGGCGGGGATAGCGGGGACCGCGCGGGGATAGCGGGGTCCAGGGGCGTGGGGGCTGGGGAGGCCGAGGCGGGGGCCGCGCGCTCGCGTGGGCTGCTTGGCGCTCTCCTTCTCTCGCAATCTCCTGGCAGCCCTTTTGTGCCTCCGGGGGGTGGGGCCGGGAGTCGGGGTGTCCCGCGGGCGCCCTTGGGGTCTTGCATGCAATTGGGGTCTTGCATGGGGACCTCATGCAAGGGGACCTCAGCTCCCCGAAGGGAGCTGGGGTTTGCACTGCCCCGAGGGTGGAAAAGGCCCACCCAGCAGGATGCGATTGGTTTGCAGAAAGGGAGCCGGGGTGAAGCAGTCCCGTTGAAGCTAAAGTTTTGCAAGAGAATGCACGGAAGGTTTCTGAGACTCTTACATTTTTTTCTTTCCTTCCCCCCCACCCACCAGACAGATAAGGAGCCCTCAGAGTCAAGCAAGGACGGAATGACGCTCACTGGTTCCAACGCATCTTTGAGCTGCCAGGCAGAGGGGCCTTTGCCGCTGGTCTTTCTTGGACCGGTCCAGAGAGGTAGGTGGGCAAAGGAGACCAGTGGGATGCTGGGAGAAGAGACGTTCTTTTGTGGATGAGTTGACATGGAATGTAACCCTCCGCCCTCCCCGACCACAAAGCCCCAGGAGAACCGTTCGGGAGGACTAGAGCTGAGAGGAAGAGGATGGCCGAGTTGGTGTGAAGAGCCCGTACGCGGGAAGTGAGCTAGACCTTAGCCAGCTTCCCAAGAGAGGATGCTGCTGCTGGGACAGGAAGGGGTGGGAGCTCCGGGGAACCCTGGAGCCCGTGGTTCAGCTGCAGTGTTTGGTGTCTGACTTGCCCCCGTCCTGGTAGAATTGGGCTGGCTTATTTGGGAAGAGAGAAAGTAAGCATTCTTCCAAAGGAACTGGCTGAATTTTGATAACTCGGTATCTTGCTTCTCAAGGAGTCCTTAACCGGGGACATTCTGTTTCTCTAGAGAGTTGGCAGTCACTGTATCAGTAATAGGATGCTCCTTGGAGCTTCTAGAACATTAGCTTGGAGGATGAATGCAGTCCTTTCATTGTGCCAGGGAAGAAACAGGCCGGAGACTGACGTTGGCTGGGCACCCCACTCTGGCGTCCGGGAGTAGCTGGGTCTGGTCAGGGAGCTCCCAGGTCCATAGGCTGCAGTCCCCTTTGCAGGCTCTGTGGGTACGTATGTATCCTGTGGACAGACAGCTCATTCCTCCTTACCCAGATGCTTGAACAGCTACTGTCATTTCAGGATGGAAAGGGTGCGGGTTATGGCGTGGTATCATCCTTGGAGGCCCCCCCTAACCTCATTTTCTCTAGATCTTCATTGGTACTTTCCAAATTTTTTTTGTTGTTACATGTGGATCTCTTTTTAAAGATCAAAATATTTAGCAGAATTTTAACCCATAAAGTTGAGGTAAACGTAGCCACTGTGTCATAGGCCAGGAGACTGGCCCAGAATTCCTTGATTCGAGTTTCTCCTACGCACCTTGATACTTGTTTCATTAGATGCCTTTTCATAATAATTTTTTAACCCTCAATGTTTTTATTGATAAGAATACCCAGTTACTGTCAAAAATTTGCAAAATGAAAAAAAAATGCAAGCATAACTCTCCCGTCATTCCCCCCACCTGGCACCAACCACTGTTTTCTTGTGGGATTACCCTCCCCCACCCACTAGTCTTCTGTGTGTATCTTTGGAAACTTGATTTTTATTTATTGTTAAGTATTGTTGCAGACTTCCACACGAGCATAACTGATTGAATGTATATGTTTGTTTCTGCTCTGTTTCAAAAGCCCACTAGAACGAGAGTAAAGGTATAAACCTGTAAGAAAAAGAACAGGATGAGAGAGGAGGAGGGATGTGAGTAAAAACGTTGACAGATACTAAACAGGTGGGGGGGGGGGGAGAGGCCGAGAGAGAGCACCAAATGTCCTGTGTTGTGGGGGAACAGGCTGATGTGTCCATAGGACCCCCCACCCCCACCCCCAGGCTCAAGAATAGGGGCTACAGAGTGTTCCCGACCTGGAGTAGAGGGTGCTGGGAAGCAAGAAGGTGGGTTGAAAGTGTGTTTAGAGCCACAGACGCCTTGCTCAGCCCATATAACCAGGGGGCTCCATCTCCCGCCGGGTTTCCTGCATGCGGCATTGGCCTGGGGGGGGCGGGGGGGCGAGCTGGGGAGGCTGAGGAGGCACCCACTGTCCTGAGAACGGGAGGATTCAGGGACACCCTCTCCTGGTTGGCTCCCGGACCCGTGCAGCCTGGCTCAGCCCCACCCTCCAGGCAGGGCTTGAAGACCTCCTTTCTGAGAAAATTGACCTCATGAGAAAAATGACCCTCGGATACTAACATTGGGGGGGACCCTGTTGAAAAGCTAGGCTGCTACTTCGTCACTTCGCAGTGACACCTACTGGCAACTAGCCCTGCCTGTGCACAAACAGCTTGGGGTGCCTCGCTCTGCGATTTCAGCGGCAGCGGGTCATCGCACACAAATCCAGAGACCCCCACACACACAGAAAGAAGGGATTCGGAAGTCAGAGACATGGTTGTTTTAAAAAAGGGAACATTCATAAAACCGTAATAAGCTATTGGATATGAAACTGTGATCGCAGTAGTAAAAATTTCCATGGGATAGAGCTGGAAGATTGAAAAATAAATTCCTAGGAAAGGTAAGAAAATGAGAGAATCCGCTTGGGAGGCCCAGCATCCATCCCCTAGGACCTCAAGGAAACGCGGGGAGAGAAACGGAGCAGGGGGAGTTATCCAAGAAACTACAGGAGAAAATTCTGGAACTGGAGGAGTCCCCGTTAAGCGTCTCTGAGTCGTGCTCAGCACAATGAATAATAAAAGAAGCAGTGCGTGAGGGAATGAGATGTGCCGCAGGACATCGTTATGAACGCTCAAGGCGCCAGAGATAGAGAAACGTTACAAAAGCCAACAGAGATAATAGCGGGCACGCAGGGAAGGTCAGAGAACAGGCCGGCATTGGACTGGACACCAGCAGCACAGAAGCCGCAGCACAGTGGAGCCGCTCCTCCGAGTTTCCAGGGGAAATTCATTCCCAGCCCAGAGCCCTGCCAGTGCATCCCAAGCAAAATAACACAGGTACCTTTTAGGCACGAATTTTCACAAACGTGACACGCCCCTCCGCCCCCTTTGTGGCTCTGTTCAAGGAAGATCCTGGAGGGTGTGCTCCAGTCAGAGGAGAACGTAGACCAAGAAAGAGGAACAGGTAGCACAGTCTGCAATTGTCCCTTGTTCCCATGCGGCGCCGCTGCCGAGGGGCCGTCTGTGTCTCAGCTGTTATCTCGCCGGGTCTCGGGAGTGGTGAGAAAAAAGGAACGGACACCCCACCATGGGACCTGAGAGCCGCTCCCTCCCAAGCCTCCCCCGTAGCCGGGACCTGTGGCCTGGGCTCCACTGACGAGATGCACCGATGTCAGACTTGACACAGAAGAGAGGGAGGACGGGTGGACTGTGTCCCTGCAGCAGTGATGGGCGACAAGGTCACGGTCTTGGCGCAGAAGCGGCAGGCGTGCACACTGACACCCAGCACTCAGTGGCAGCAGCAGAAACGCCGACAGACATTCAGTGCGGGGTTCGCACCGTGGGCCGCAGTTATAGTTCTCGTCTTGTCCGGCTGTTCGTTTTTCCCGGACTTGATAGTCGCCTCATCTTTTGGTTTGCTTTGTTCCCAATGTACGCACCACTCATCCTTCTCACACCCTCCAGCAGAACGGTGACCTCCTCCCAGTGCGCCATCCGTCCTAATCCACCAGCTCCTCTCCTTAGCTCACCAGGGAGCGGTGGCTTCTTTACTTGCAGCCAAGTCCCGCGACTGGTGCAGGGCCCAGGCGGGGAAGGGAGTGCCTGTGATGGTGCAGAGAAGTCCCGGCACCGCAGCCCCCTCGGAGCATGGTCGCCGAGGGCCCAGGAGGAGTAGCTCCAAGAAGAAGGGAGCTGGTGGCGCATCTGACATACTTGCTGCATTTGAAGGAGTTTTATAGCTCTGAGGGAGAGTTTGGGGGGGACTACATAGCCATACATAGAAAACAAAGAAAATGAAAAGTGAGGCAACTATCAACTACAGGAATAACAAAAAGGTGAACCAGAAAGGAAATAAAATCATAGCATACGGAGTGGCCTGGCTTTGAACAATGTTTACATAGTAAGCGCTGATGTTTGACTAACGAAAAACGATCCCATCACTATATTCAGAAGACGGACGAGAGGAGGATGTGTGCGTGTGTGTACTTGTAGGGAAGCACAAACTTACCGTAGGGCAAGAAGTTCAAAGTTGAAAACCCAGAAATATCAGTGCCAACCTATTGTTTGGAAACGTAGAGACAAGTATCCAAAGAAACAACTGAAATTGGGAGTGGTACGTCTGCT